TTGTTCACGTAGGACGATTAGGGGGAGAGTGTGGGAGGTGTATCATGTCCAAGTAGCATCAGGACCAATTTATTCCAAATTTATGCGACGAATGGCAATCTGGAGTCACTCAGCTGACTCACAGCAGCTCTCTGTACCTTTCAGTGTACTCTTGGCCTCATACATCGTTACGTGCACGCGTCGTGGGGAGCGCGAAAAAAATGTGTTTTTTACGTCGTTGAAAACTATAGCCATCGGTGTAAATGTGCGTCACGGACCCCTGAGATCGGGCTCCGCCTGCTCCGCCCCCTCCCCCCCCCCCTCCCCCCGTCTCTTCCCCGGTATTCATTCAGCGTCGGTCCTGTAGCCCGACCGGCATGAAGCGTCATAACGCAAGCCTGTCGTGTTTTGTACATTTTTCCTCGGGAGTGATGTATCACGAAAGCATTTTGTCAGGTGTAATGCCATTCCAGTGGTGGGTGTAGGAACAAGGTGTGCTTGATATAGACCCGATATTGTTGCATGGAGAGAATTAACTTGAAATTTGGCAATGCTCCTCCCATTTCTCTTTCTGAAACGCCCATTCAACTCTGATTTGAATGAAGAGAACAAAACCGAGATGGGTCTTCTTGCTTCCCGCCACATACGCACACAAAGAAGCCATTGCGATTATAGCTCAATGAACCACCCTCGGACCGTGTTGTGTCTACTTTGAATTGCCGTCAACGCACAAATGCATGTCGTTGAAATATGATATAACACGTAATGTATAATATAAAACGATATATGTCCTGAAAGCACATATATCGTCCACTGTCCTGAAAGCACATATATCGCGCATTGTCCTCAAGTCGCATTTGTCGCGAATTGTCCTGAAAGCACATATATCGCACGCTGCTCCCAGTACCAGAGATCTTTGGGGTCTGTTTGATATGCATTTGTTATTCTTGTCACTCATTCCGTCTGCATGTCAGTGTCATTTGCCTAATCCCGCGCTCTATCTTAGGTCACTTGCCAACCCGAAAAGTCCCCACAATTTCTTTCGAGCGGGGGATGATAGCTATATTTGGTTGCATCTTTCCAGTAAACGCCCATATTTTCATTGTCATCTTTTTTGGAAAGTTATGGGCTGCCCTTCCCTCCCCCTCCCCACCCCACCCCTTTAGTTTTCGTTTCCAATCCTGTCCAAGATCCTGGATTCTCTGGATCACGTCCAACAGTCCCTGACTGCTCCCTTCACCTTTGGCAGGGACGCCGGGTTCGCGCTCTTCGACAGCTTTACCAGCAACCAGCAGCTGAAGAAGAACCTCTCGACGGCGGCACTGAGGGGCATCACCATCGACGGTGGCGCCGCCGGACGGACGCCGCTCAAGTCGCGCTCCACCTCCAGCTCGCTAGATGGCGGGCGCGGCACACCGGGCGCCGTCACCTCGCCCAGCTCCGGACTGAACAGCTCCCTGGCGGCCACGCCGTCTCCCATGTCTCGGCTGCAGGTGCGGACAGGGCGGAGGGCGGGGCACGGATGGGGTCATTGTTTGGGACCAACGTACTCGTCTGGTGTGTAAGTTGCACGACGTTTCGACCAGATGCTATGGGGTCGTGAGGACCGCGTGATTCTTGGCTGTCAGCCATGTATGCGTCACGACCCGAATTTTCTTCTTGGTATTGCCTGAGTTCGAACTCGGGTCTTCTTGGTTGTGGTTTCAGTGCTTTACCACCTTAGCTAACTGAGCAAAATATTAAAAACAATTATTTCGTCCGTGATACATTACCCCGTTTCAATCCTTTTGTACAACTATCAGTGGGCAGCGTTTTGACGGTGGGTTCGGAAGGGCTGCGGATAACCGTGTCCCAGCCGCTGATTTTCAGTGATGTGGCTGTGTCGTTGTAGATGATTTGATCCGAAGCTTTGGATGGATGCATTTCTGAGATCAGAACTCGCGCCAGGCAATGCTTGTTGTGTGAGTCCTTACCATCCAACCACGCAGATCCTGGGAATACCCTGCGCAACATTGACTGAGAGCCAACCCTAATCGTGGCGTGACTTGTAATGGTAGAATTTGAGTAACGTTATTATGACCTTATAAATGCCAGGGTGACCTTGAATACTCCCCGAAATGCTTCCCCTATTTACGCAAGCGTCTATCTCGGAAACTAGAGGGGTCTTAGGCCAACAGGGGCAGGACTGTTAACGACACCGAAAGGTCTTCAAGATGGTTTTTCGGTTCAAAACGCCATATGAATGTGGAACGTCCCGTTTAAGCAACATACAGTCATTGCAGTATCATGTCAAGATGTACAACGTGTTCAACAGTGCCCAGTGTGAACCCGAGAACGTAGTTGCAACACCCAGTTTACTCAGATCGACAATTTTCAAGATAGCACAAAACGACAAGAACCACAACCCGAGCGCTGAACTTTTTTTGCTGACGTCGAGTCCCCGCTCGTGCCACAGTCGGGCCAGGCGGCCAGCATGCTGCAGAAGCTTATAGCAGAGAGCAGCGCCGTGCCGGTGGCGTTCAGCGAAGACGCGGCCGGCGGCGAGCTGAACGAGCAGGCGCTGCGGGGCGTCGCCGCCTGCCACGCCACCGACGTGCTGCACAACAACTGGCTGATAGAGCTGGTCAACTGCCAGGTACTGGTGCCGCACAATGATTGGCTGATAGAGATGGTCAACTGCCAGGTACTGGTGCCGCACAATGATTGGCTGATAGAGATGGTCAGTTGTCAGGTACTGGTATTTCACAATGGGTGGCTGATAGAGATGGTGGAACTGTCAGGTACGGGTGCTGTACGATGACTGCCTTATAGAGCTGGTCAGCTGTCAGGGATTGGTGCTACACAACAACTGCGGATAGAGCTGGTCGACGTCAGGTACTGACAGCTGGCGGATGGAGCCAGGAAACTGCTAGGTACTGGCACAGCTCAGTTAATGGCTGATAGAACTGGTCAACTGCCATGCGCTGACTACGGGCTGATAGAGCTGGGCAGCTGCCAGGTACCCGACCTGACATGATGACCTCGCTCAGCCCGCTGCTTTTTGCAGCTCTGTTCACTCGCCGTGCTATGCGCCCAGGTTCTGCTGAAGGGCATCGAGACGCGAGGCTACGTCATCATCACGTCATCGAAGAGTCAGATCCTCCAGCGGGTGCACCGTCCCGTCTGGCGGGACCGCACCCTGGTCAGCAAGACCTCTTGGGTGGGAGGACTGGATGGTGAGATATTGATGGTGGGGTGGATGGTGAGGTACTGATGGTGGGGTGGATGGTGAGATACTGATGACCGGGTGGATGGTGACATACTGATGATGAGTTGGGCGGAAAGATACTGATGACGGGGCGGATGGGGAGATATTGATGACGGGGGGACGGTGAGATACTGGTGGTGGGGTGGGTGGTGAGATACTGATGATGGGGAGGGACGATGAGATATGACTGACATAGTGGACAGTGAGATACTGGTGAAGGGGATAAGCGAGATACTGGTGACGGAGTAGACGGTGAGAGGCTGATGTCGGGGAGGGTGAGACACTGATGACGGGTGGACGGTGGGATACTGTTCACAGGGTGGATGGTGAGATATTGATGACCCGGTGGATGGCCTGATACTGATGACTGGGGACAATGAGATACTGATGGTGGGAGGACGGCGAGATACTGATGACGGTGATGGTAAAATACCGATGGCGGTTGGACGGTGAGATATTGATGATGGATTGTATGGTGAAAATTGGTGACGGGGGAGCAAGACCGCGTTAAGAAGATTGTATTGCGTGCCAATGACGACAGCTCTGCCAGATCCTTACACCTCAGACCTCATGTAGGTCGGACCCTGATCAAGCAGACGGTAATCGAATCAGTCGAGAAAGTCTCCGGGGCAACGTGCGTGGATTCTGCGGCAAGCTCTCTCACTGCTTTACATGTCGTGCCTGCCTGTGTTGCGCATGAAATCATGCAGCAATCACCACAAGCGAGTACAATGTGGTGGCCGCCACCTCTTGGCTGCGGTCCCTGCACACACACACACAAACATACGCGCGCGTGCCGCGTTGTCCGCCCCCAGGGATGCAGTACTACGCCACGGTCAGCGCCGGCGAGCCGGACCCCGCCTCCGAGAACATCATGTGGCTGACGGTGGACAACATCGAGGAGAAGGCCGACGACCACATTCGGGAGGTGCCCGACCTCGTCGGCTCAGGTGGGCGCGGCCGGACGGAACAAAAGCCAGGCTGTGAGAAATCCAGGTGGTTTTGGAAACGTTTGGAATCGAATTTGTTCTCGTGAATGCAGGCTTATGCATGACGATGTCAGATGTTAGTTTTTTTTGGAGACTCCGGCATGGGGATTGATGTTGCAAGTTTTTCGATTATGTACCCATTGTTTGAAATGAATGGGATTAAATGAAACGAAATGAAGAGCAGAAATGACTCACTTCTCAAAACTCTACTAAGATGGAATGGTTTACTTCATAGTGAAAAAGGTTCTGGTAGTCCAATGTTTATGAGATCTTCGGATGTTCAACTACGCCACCGCCTCCAGAACGGCACCAGTCCGCCCCAGCGTCACCCCATACCCCCCTCCCCCTCCCTCCTCGCAGGCCAGTCGGTGGGCGGCGTGGTGACAGAGACAGTGGGCGGCTGCGCCAGCGCCGACGACGACGCCAGCCTCCAGCTCCAGCGTGTCGTCTCGCGCTGCCGCTGCGAGTTCTTCTACGCCAGCTACGGCGAGGTGGGTGTGGCGCCGGCCGCGCCGCCGCCACCTGAGGCGGGACGGCTCGGCGTTGTCGGGCGTGGCTTCCGTTGGGGGGGGGGGGGCTCAGGGGGGGGGGGTAAGGGCAGCGATGGACTTTCGACTCGAGGAGGGTTTAAGGTTAGGGTCGTGATGTCGCGCGGTAAAACTGCAGTCAGGAGCTGTTTTTGTACGCCGACTTAATGGCCGTTTCTTCGCCACTCCGCACGTCGCGAGCCATGACACCGTGCTGACCGCCCATTCTTAAAATAGCGACGACGTGGCGCTGATTGTCGTTTCAAAGTGGCGTCAGCCTTGGTGTGCCCGTATCATTAGCATCAGGTCTCGCACGGATATGCAACGTGTTGAAAGCCATCACGCTAAACTGATAATTTGGTTTCAACTTGAATTTAAAGGTTGATGTAAAAAACGTGCAGTTCATTTCAAATGGTCTGTACCGCGCATACACTTCCTAATGGCAGCGTCTTGGCACTCCTCCATCATTTGTAACCCGCCATAGTGGCCGTCCCGTATCCCGACTGAGTCGGACCATGACTCTGTGGAGACGATCCCGCCGCTGCCGCCACACCCTCACAGCGTCTGCCCGCGTGCGCCAGTTGTAGGTGGACCCCGGCTCTGTGGAGACGATCCCGCCGCTGCCGCCACACCCTCACAGCGTCTGCCCGCGTGCGCCAGGTGTCGGTGGACCCCGACTCTGTGGAGATGATCCCGCCGCTGCCGCCGGAGCCGTCCGAGATCTGGTCCAGTCAGGAGCAGCCCATCGACGCGCTGACCGTCACCCACCACGACCTCAACGTCTGCACCAACAGCCTGCAGTACGCCATGGTGCTCGACATCGTCAATAACCTGCTGCTGTATGTGGCGCCGCGCAAGAAGCAGAGTTACGATCAGCTGCAGCGCATGAGGTCAGTGGTGGCGCCGCGTGGACCTGGGCTTCCCTGACCTGACAGTTGCCCAGTTCAGTTCAACAGTTCTCTCTCGACAGTTCAGTGGAACAGTTCTCTTGCCCAGTGATCGCTGCTCATTTCTCCACGGGGCGGGCGGGCCGTCCGACCTTCGCGCCGGTGGTGGCAGGTCACGGTGTGGCCACCTTCTGTGCCGTGTTTTCTCCTGGTGGCGAAGCATTTGGTCATAGACTGTGTCATTTCGTGTCAGCCGCCGGCGAAAAGTTGTGCCCCGCGCGGGATTCAAACCGGGCACGTGACGCCGAACGTCGGCGCTCCGCCCGCCCCGCCAGGTTCCAGATGCAGCTGTCGAGCATGGAGGACCAGCGGCGGCCGATCCAGCAACTGCAGAACCGGATCCGCTCGATGATGTCGGAGATCCGACAGCTGGAGAAGGCGACGTACCTGCTGCAACGGCAGCGGGACGAGGCGGCCGCCGACCGGACCGCCGCCGCCCGGCTCCAGGTACGGCAGCAACGGCGACAGGCAGGCAGGCAGGCAGGCAGGCAGACCAGACCAGACCAGACCAGACCAGACCAGACCAGACCAGACCAGACCAGACCAGACCAGACTGGACCACACCGGACCGCACCGGACCGCACCGGACCAGAACAGAACAGAACAGAACAGAACGAAACCAAACCAAACGAAACAAAAAGACCAGACCAGACCAGACCAGACCAGACCAGACCAGACCAGACAGACAGACAGACAGACAGACAGACAGACAGACAGACAGACAGACAGACAGACAGACAGACAGACTCTGGGACTCTGAGACTTCGAGTCCCATGCCCCCAGAGACTCTGAGACTGGAGGCTGAATAACGCGACATGGTGGAGGATTTCCGCTGCGAGTCCTGAGGTACCCTTCCCCACAGTCGGAGATGTCCGACAAGGAGCGGCAAACCCTGGAGAAGAAGGAGCAGCTGACGTCATCTGCTGAGGAGCTGGCCATGCGTATCCACATCTACAAGGAGACACAGCTTTCCAAGTCGCAGAAACCCACCACCAGGTGCGCTAGTGTCGCATCGGCGCTGCAGTGCTTGTTGGCTGCGATGGGATGAGGATGTGGTGGCTGCCATGGTGACGAGGCTGCTGTTGATGATGCCGTGGGCACTCTGTCATACTAATGCATCGCTAACTAGCCAGCGCATATATCGCGCCATACGCGCCATACGGCGCAAGGTATTCGAATAACCAATGTCTGTGTGTGTGGCATCCAAATGATCCTTGAGTGTAACCACGTGAAGAAGAAAATCAGCTCTGTTCGTCTGTGTACCAGAATGTACGTGAATTTCTTGCGCTTATCCCGTGCCTACAGCGCGCCACTTTGTGTGCACGCGCGCCGGACATGTCACCGACTCTCCCTCCGCGCGCGTTTGGCAGGAAGGGCGACGCCCAGGTGGTGGTGATCCGAACCAACGAGGTGTGCATTCGCCACGCGCAGTGGCGCCTGACTGAGCCGGACGGGCAGCTGGGCCTGGCCGACCTCGTCATCAGCGGCTTCCAGTACACCAAGCACACCAAGAACGACGACAGCGTGGAGCACCTGCTGGAGCTGGGCTACATCAGCATGTCCAACCTGCTGCCCAACCAGTCCTACCGCGACGTGAGTCGGGCTGAGCAAGTCTGTCACTACAGCTCTCACTTGAGCTCTCACTACAGCTCTCACTACAGCTGTCACTACAGCTCTCACTTGAGCTCTCACTACAGCTCTCACTACAGCTGTCACTACAGCTCTCACTTGAACTCTCACTGCAGCTCCCACTACAGCTGTCACTACAGCTCTCACTTGAGCTCTCACTACAGCTCTCACTACAGCTCTTAATGCAGTCCTTATTTGAGCTTTCACCCGAGCTCTCACCACAGCTCTCACTACAGCTCTTACTACAGCTCTCACTACAGCTCTCACTACAGCTCTCACTACAGCTCCCACCACAGCTTTCTCTACAGCTCATTACAGCTCTCACTACAGCTCTCACTCGAGCTCTCACCCGAGATCTCACTACAGCTCTCTCCTCAGCTCTCACTCGAGCTCTCATCCGAATTCTCGCAGCAACTTTCGCTACAGCTCTCACTACAGCTCTCACCGTGGCTCCCACCACAGCTCCCACTCGAGCTGTTGCTACACCTCTCACTACACTACTGGTTGAAACTGTGGTCAGTGGGACACCACTGGTCACACTGGTCATGTCCTTCATCCACCGCATACCGATTGGTCAACGTACTCCCTCCCCGTTCGCTGATAGGCATCCATGCCACGGCGCCATTCGCTGATTGGTCGCCGCACCTCGGCGCCGCGCGCTGATTGGCTGGTCGGCCGGCAGGTGCTGCAGCCGACCGAGATCCAGACCAGCATGCCGGTGGACCGGCAGCGCTCGCTGCGGGTCTACTTCCGAGAGCGGCCGCCAGTGGGCGGCATCAGCGTCAAGGAGCACCTCGAGATCAACGTCACCCCCATCAACATCGGCATGACGTACCAGTTCTTCAAGATCATGCTGCGCTTCTGCTTCCCCGAGCGGGACACGGAACACCTCGAGGATGAGGTGGGCTCGGAGTGGGGGGGGGGGGGGGGGGGGCGGGAGAGGTGGCGGGGTGCGAGGAAGCTCTGTGGAGTCCGGGTGGTACGGTGGGATGCCCAAGCTTCAGCATGTTTGCGATCGGTTTTTGTTGTTTTTTTTCCTTTGAGCAGTACTTTAGTGTGGAACTGTTTTGGGGTTCACATATCTGGATGTTGCGGGCGATGTCCGAAAGCGCGATGTGCACGGCAAGAAGCGAGGTTTGTCAAAAGGGTAGGGCGTGGCAACTGACTGCCTGGAATGGGTCAGTACGGCACTGCGTGGCTCATGTGAACCACCGTGTGGATGTCGTATGCGCCGTGTGAACATCTAGAACACGAGCTTGTCAAGGGCCAGCTGACATTTGATCCGAGAGGCTGTGAGTACCATGCCAGGTGATGCTGTGCTCCGCGAGAGGTTCTCTCAGGTGTTCACGCACGTTCATGAACTAAAGGAAGACGTTTCAGGCAGTGCGTCAATTCGTTTACTTGGATCGTTATGGCGTTCGATGTGCAGTCAGCTGTGTTTATTGTATAGTCGGATTTCGAGGCGTTTTTACATATAATTTGCACGTTACGAACGGTCAGACGAATGCACAACGTTTGATGTCCATTATTTGAACGTTTTGATGCTCGTCATTTGACCTTGACTCTACTTTTGAAGTACCGTAGACCCCCGGGGTCTAGTTTTCTGAAATAGGTTGGATTGAGTGGAGAAAAATCGCTTTACCTGCGTTCAAAACAGGCAATACGGATTTCCCTCTCGAATTAGGGCTTTCTCTCGTAAGGCAGGGATGGGTTTGCACATCCGTCCCTTTTATCCTGAGTCTTGCTTCATCCTGCGTCCTCGCGACTCCCCGTTTGTCAGGGGCAGGCTGCATGCGTCAGCCACGTGTGGGCCGAGAGCCCCGTGGGAAGGGGGACCCCGGCCGGGTACCCGCGCATGCGCGGGTTAATGCTCGGCGGTTGGCCCCCCAGGCGCACGCACGTCTATCCCATCGTTAACCATTTTCCTTCATCCCATAGCCCTGAAATGATCCTGTCTGGTCGAAAGGGATTTAATTAAAAAACCAACCAGGGATGGACTTGGAGCGCCCCCCCCCCCCCCTCCTCTCTAGTGTAATAAGAAACTACACATCTGCTAAGTATGTTAGGACAATAAGGGCAACCGTGTCATGTCATGACCAGACTTAGCGACCGTATTTAGGTCACGACTAGACTCAGCGACCGTGTTTAGGTCATGACCAGACCTAGCGACCGTGTTTAGGTCATGACCAGACTCAGCGACCGTGTTTAGGTCATGACCAGACCTAGCGACCGTGTTTAGGTCATGACCAGACTTTGCGACCGTGTTTAGGTCATGACCAGACTCAGGGAGCGTGTTTAGGTCATGAGCAGACTTAGCGACCGTGTTTAGGTCATGACCAGACTTTGCGACCGTGTTTAGGTCATGACCAGACCTAGCGACCGTGTTTAGGTCATGACCAGACTCAGGGAGCGTGTTTAGGTCATGAGCAGACTTAGCGACCGTGTTTAGGTCATGACCAGACTTTGCGACCGTGTTTAGGTCATGACCAGACCTAGCGACCGTGTTTAGGTCATGACCAGACTCAGGGACCGTGTTTAGGTCATGAGCAGACTTAGCGACCGTGTTTAGGTCATGACCAGACTTTGCGACCGTGTTTAGGTCATGACCAGACTTAGCGACTGTGTTTAGGTCATGACCAAATTTAGCGACCGTGTTTAGGCCATGACCGATATTCAGATAATCTTCGAAGCTTCCAATTCGAAGGGCGTAAACCGTAATCCGGAATCATGAGGTCATGATGAGGTCATGACCTCGTCACACGCAGCGTCTGGCGTGGTCACGACTTGCCTCGCGGATCGCGGATCGAGGCCGTGGCGCGTGACGCCTAAAACCGCGCGATAGATCTCCTGCGCCTGCGCCCCCAGACGCCGACCCACCCTCCCAAGGAGAAGCTGTCGAAGAAGGAGAAGAGGAAGCAGAAGAAGGAGAGCAGCTTCTACGTGGCCATTGAGAAGGACGACGTGGAGAAGATGAAGGAGCGTGCGCAGAACAACATGCTGTTTATTTACATTAAGGTGGGTCTGTCGACCGGCCAGGGGGCGTGGTTGGCGGCGCCCTAGCTTATGTTTTGAGTTACCCAGCGTTTGAGGGAGTAGGCCACCCCGTTGTACATTTCACTTGTTAGATCAGACGTGTCCGATTTGAATGGTGATACCAGTTTCCTCGAAATGTTTCTCAATAGCTCAGACTTTTGATATGAAGTAGCCGCTTCTGCGGGAGAAATCTCAGTGGACTCCCCGCTCACCAGTTTCATTGTGGTGAGCGGCAGTCACATTTCATTTGCCCTGCTTTTTCCAGCGTTTGTGGTCTGTACTGTTTATCACTCACGTATTTGCCAAATTGCGTGTGCAATAAAGGCTGCGAAAGCTAGAAATGCTGTTAAACGAGAAATGCAAGCACGACACTATTATCCCGCGAATCTAACGATACGTTATGCTCTGGCTTTGATATTTCTCCTTTGTGTAAACCATAGCGGCTCTTTTCGAAGTGCACTTTGTCTTTGAGGAGCGGACTATCACATGGTCTGCAGTGATGCGCTGGTTCAAACTTCAACCGATGCGTTTTGCGATAACTGGCCCTTGCCGCATGTTGTGCCAATCACGAATGTGCATTTGTATTGATGCCATGCATACCGGTACAAGCACCGCTTGTAAGTCTGCAATCCCGCAATGTGCGGATTAAATAACTCAAAAGTTGTACCTGGAACTCGTTATTGTTGACAACGGCCCTCAGCAGGTTGTGCCGTCGTCATGACGACGGCGGTCGCGACAACTGCAGTTGTCGCGGACTCGGGACACACTCTGGGGCTATCGCGAAAAAATAAGTCTAGTGCTGTTACAAAGGGTTGACGGCGTATTTTTGACCCGAAAATAATTACAATTTGTATTCTTATCATATCTGGTGATCTGGATGGTACTGCAGCAGCACCACCCAGTGCTATTGTTGGACGTAAATGGTCCTTAGGTTTCACCAGGGTATGTTTGTGAAATATGCCCCAAAGGTGGGACTTTACCTTTAAGAAGACGCTGGTTGTGTGGGTGTGGGTGTGGGTGTGGGTGTGGGTGTGAGTGTGAGTGTGGGTGGGTGTGGGTGTGGGTGTGGGTGTGGGTGTGGGTGGGTGTGTGTGGGTGTGGGTGTGGGTGTGGGTGTGTGTGTTGCGCTGCAACGGACATTAGGAAACATTCATCCTAAGCAATTAGACTCGCCACCGTTAAGTTGTCCCTGTTGCAAGCACGCATGGCTTGCTCGTAACAGCGATGGATGTGGACACATCGTTCGTCGTGTCATGTACCTGTGATGTTTTCGTGTCGTTTATCAACGCATGCGATCACGAACGTCCCTAGCGTTGTGACGTGCGTGTGGAACGTGGGCAAGGGAAGCTTCCCTGGACGGGGAAAGGAGCCCATGTCTGGCTACCCTGAAGCAGCCGTCCCACCACTCGGCCACTGCGCCATGCTCGTCCGCGCTCGCGTACCCATGCCCCCCCCCCCCCCCCCCGGTGTCGAAGGTTACCTGGCCCCGTTCACCATGTTGTCTATTCCCTTTTGCTAAGCCATCTATCTTCTTTCGCCAATAGCCTATACCCCCCGTTTGCCAGGTTACTATCCCCGCTCGCGAACCTACTTACGCCAAGTACCAAGTATGTATCCCCGTCAGTTAGATTACCTTTTTTCGTTTGCCAGGTTACCTACTCGGCATAACCAATTCCCTTTACCAGGCATCCTCGTTCGGCAAGTGACTCATGGCATGTGCCACTTAAGCTATCACCCGTTCGCTAGATTACCTATTCCCATTCGCCATGCTCTTATCCCCGTTCGCCAATTGGCCCATGCCAGGCGCTAGTTTGTACATCTCCCGTTCGCCAGGTCACCTATTCCCGTTCGCCAGGTCACCTGTTCCCGTTCACCAGGTCACCTGTCCGTCTTCTGCAGGTGCCCGAGGTCACCGTGCGCGTCAGCTACAAGGGCGAGAAGGACAAGAACCTGGAGGACGTGCACAACTTCCTTCTGACCGTGCCGACGCTCGAGTACCACAACGTCACTTGGACCTGGCTCGACCTGCTGCTGGCCATGAAGAACGACACCAAGCGGGTGCTCCTGTCGCAGGTGCCGGCCGGGCGAGGGGCGCCAGGCGGTAGGGCGGGGCCGGCGACCTTCATCCGTGCTGCAAACAAACGTCGTATTTATCTTCCCATCACGTCGGTTGTTTTCATGTGTAAACAGTCATACGGGATTCTTGGCGTCGGTGGCGTCGCACTCAGAGTGCGTTTAGCAGGGTTTGTGCCCCGGACTGTCCATCCTAGCAGACCGCTGCAGGTCAGTGGATACACTGCGGCCTCTCTGTCAAACGGAGTCACACGCTATCTCATTTGTGAGGTGAAATGCGACATCACGACCGTTTGGTGTCAGTGTTTATGCTTTACCCATGCGTTTTGCGCGTATGTAATCCCAGTGTATGTGCGGGTGTTACCGTTGTGCCAGTATCTTCCCCGCATCCTACCTGTAGGCTGTAATGCGTGCCACTGGTCCATGCCCCATCTGAGAGGCCTCAGAGCGTTTCCCAGACCCTCCTCAGAGCATCTCCCGCAGAGCGTCCTACAGCCCCGCCTGAAGGCGTCTCCCAGCCCCGTCTCAGAGCATCTCCCTCAGAGCGTCTCCCAGCCCCATCTCAGGCCGTCTCCCAACCCCGTCTCGGAGCGTCTTTCAGCCCCGTCTCGGAGCATCTCCCAGCTCCGTTTCGAATCATCTCCCAGCCCCTTCCCAGGGGTGCCTCTCAGCTCCGTCTCAGAGCGTCTCCCTCAGAGCATCTCCGAGCCCATCTCAGGGCGTCTCCCAGCCCCATCTCGGAGCGTCTCCCAGCCCCGTCTCGGAGAACCTCCCAGCTCCGTTTCGAATCATCTCTCAGCTCCTTCCCATGGGTATCTCTCAGCTCCGTCTCAGGGCGTTTCCCGCCCCGACAGGCCATCAAGCAGAAGCTCCAGATCGGAGGCCGGACCTCCGGCGCTGAGGAACCGGTGCAGGACGAGGAGGACAAGGCGCGCCTCCTGTTCGGCTCGCTGATGGCGCCTGGCAGCGAGAAGGAGAAGCCCGCCCGCAAGGGCCTCTTCCACCTGCACAGGAGCTAGCTGGAGCAGGGATACCTGCGCGGAGGCTAGCTGGATAGGAGTGGAGTGCTCACGCTCCAGGGCGGGCCTGCACCGAGGATGATTCCCTGCACGACGGCCGACTGCAGAAGGAGGGACTTCCACCTGCACAGGAGCGAGCTGGAGCAGGGATACCTGCGCGGAGGCTAGCTGGATAGGGGGGTGCGCTTACCCTCTAGGATAGGCCTGCACCGAGGATAATACCCTGCACGGCGGGTGACTGGAGAAGGAGGTACTTACCCTCCAGAAGGGGCCTCACCCTCGGCCTCTGCAGGGGCCGGCCGTGGTCACGTGTCACGTGATGTGATCACGTGGTCACGTGGTCACGGTGGTCACGGGAGGCGGCGCGGCGAGGCGGCCGAGGAGCTCCTGGAGGGACGTCCGTCGTCGGCGCGGGAGGCCGACACCTCAGTGCAGTGAGGACCTCCGGCGAGACCTCGCACGCACCGAAGCAGCGTGGGGTCGCGGCGCGCGGCGCTGTGTGGCCGCCCAGTTCAGTCTGCAAGTCTTTCCTTTTCTGATCAGTGGCGACGACCACGACCATGCTGGCGTGGTTTTATGCGGAGCCATCTCAGAGCCGGAAGAGCATGACATGCCGCGGCGTTTACGCCAAGCCCGCCGCCCAGCACGCGGAGATGGGCTTACGCAATATGCACTCACGGAGGGATCAGTGCACGGCTTCGGAGCGTCAGAGATCAGTGACGTCATGCGATCCAGGCTTCTGCCGGGACTAGGACGGCTGGTCTTGGTCAGCTCGGTCTGTCTTTGGAGGCGGCACCTCCGGCGGGAGTTCTTAAGCGGTTCGTGTGCTAGCAGCGGTTTTGTCGAGGCGCTGGTGTTGCCCTGGACGGCCGCGCTGGGGCCGTGGACCGGGCATTGTTGATGCTGAAAGTTGTGTGGCCGCGGTGTTCTCTGTTCGTGGTCTTATCGGGTTCGTATTCTGCCCCGTCGCGTCAGTCGCGTTTTGAAGGTCACTGAGACCTTTTGAAGCGATTATTTTTGTTGTATGTCACTACATGCGATCATTACGCGGTTTTTGGTAGCTTGATCTGTTACTTTCAAAGTTGTCCATTTGATGTTTACCTGACCCAGTCATGCTCGTCCCGACTTTTAGTGAGAATGACTCACATTGGTCAGTCGCTCGGTTACCACAGTGTTCATTGGTCAGACTGTTCAGCTACCTTGACGGTGATTGGACGGATTTGGCGGGATGCCCAGTTATCAAGATGCTGATTGGTGAGCCGTAGCAATATCGCGCCGTTGGTTGGCTGATCGTTTTTATCGGCATGCCGACTGGTGGTAGGCGGCTGGAATACTGTCACCGATTGACCTGTTACGGAGTCACTAACAAGCCTGTTCCTATGTTACTGATTGGTCTGTTGTGGCACACATTAGCACGTTTTCTTGACGCTTATTGGTCTAATCACGAAGATGGGTGGGGGAGGAGAACTGTGAACGGCTATCACCATGCGAAGACTTGTGGAGCGACAGTGATGACGAGCGATCCGATCGCTGTATTGAAACACGTTGTTCCTGATGTGATAATTCTGTCTTGTGAGGTCTGATAAATGCTGCGTAGATCAGGATGTCTGCCACTGTGTGATGGCGAAGGGAAGACTGTGGGTCCCAGCTATGGTTGGTCTGGTCGGTGCTGCGAGGTCACCAGACATTCCTGCCGTACGTCCGTGGCGGTGACGGCCGGAGCAGCGACGGGTGCTAGACCGGTCCGCGGCAGGAGAGACGAGTGACCTTGCGCGGCGCCTGGCGGCACGTTCGCCTCGCCACATCCTGGATATGTTGTAGCAGAGTGTGCAAGGCCTTCAGCGTGTGAGGTTTCCTCCAGGCACGGCTCTCGGTAGCAGAACACCAATGCAAGGTACCGCCCGGGCCAAGGGCGGTGAGCCGTCCTGAAGCGGTGCCGATGCGTTGAGTGCTGACACCACTGGTCGCTAGTTCGCCGATGAAAAACTGCAACCTTGGAGGTACCACTCTGCGTACTTTTTGGAAGGTTGGGCTCCAAAGAATTAGATATTGTCACACTTTATCTATGATCATGTCTTGAGAAAGGGGGCCAGCATCCCAGTGGTTGGAACGCGCATCCCCCTCCCTCCCCTCCCGCCTTCACACATAGTTGTGTTAGGGAGCGTCGCAGTTGTTTGGCCCGTACTGAATACATTATGTAAGTATAAAAGGTTTACACACGTGAAGCTAAAAAGGGTCTCGGAATGCATTGGACCAGGACTTAATAATCCATGCGTTCAACCCACCATCCGCTTAGCGCCATTCCAGTGCAACAGATGACCAACATCTGATAAATGGACACGACTGCAGAGCATGAATGGACACGAACTATTTCCAGCTACAAAATATGCTCGGTACAGCAACCCCATGCCAGCCTGGCCCTCTTTATATGGGTGTCGGACGACTGTCATGCATATATGCATACTGCACCCATATGGCGAAACCAGGGTGTGTGGCTTTTGGGGGTCATGCCCCCCCCCCCCCCCCCCCGACGGTGACAGGGATCCCTAATGGCGGCGAGCGCCGCGATACGGTGTGATAGTTAAAGACGTCCGTAGTGCTTTCAAATCATCAGCAAACAGGCTCACGAGGCAATAAAATGACATCTCTAGCTTTTTACGCTTCCGATCCCGAGTTCAAAAGAGGCAGCAAAATTACCTCTAGCTTTTACGCTTCCGATCCAGAGTCCAAAAGAGGCAACAAAATGACGTCTCTAGCTTTTTACGCTTCCGATCCCGAGTTCAAAAGAGGCAGCAAAATTACCTCTAGCTTTTACGCTTCCGATCCCGAGTCCAAAAGAGGCAACAAAATGACGTCTCTAGCTTTTTACGCTTCCGATCCCGAGTCCAAAAGAGGCAACAAAATGACGTCTCTGGCTTTTTACGCTTCCGATCCCGAGTTCAAAAGAGGCAGCAAAATTACCTCTAGCTTTTACGCTTCCGATCCAGAGTCCAAAAGAGGCAACAAAATGACGTCTCTAGCTTTTTACGCTTCCGATCCCGAGTCCAAAAGAGGTAACAAAATGACGTCTCTAGCTTTTTACGCTTCCGATCCCGAGTTCAAAAGAGGCAGCAAAAATACCTCTAGCTTTTACGCTTCCGATCCAGAGTCCAAAAGAGGCAACAAAATGACGTCTCTAGCTTTTTACGCTTCCGATCCCGAGTTCAAAAGAGGCAGCAAAATTACCTCTAGCTTTTACGCTTCCGATCCCGAGTCCAAAAGAGGCAACAAAATGACGTCTCTAGCTTTTTACGCTTCCGATCCCGAGTCCAAAAGAGGCAACAAAATGACGTCTCTAGCTTTTTACGCTTCCGATCCCGAGTTCAAAAGAGGCAGCAAAATTACCTCTAGCTTTTACGTTTCCGATCCAGAGTCCAAAGGAGGCAACAAAATGACGCCTCTAGCTTTTTACGCTTCCGATCCCGAGTTCAAAAGAGGCGGCAAAATTACCTCTAGCTTTTACGCTTCCGATCCAGAGTCCAAAAGAGGCAACAAAATGACGCCTCTAGCTTTTTACGCTTCCGATCCCGAGTTCAAAAGAGGCAGCAAAATTACCTCTAGCTTTTACGCTTCCGATCCAGAGTCCAAAAGAGGCAACAAAATGACGTCTCTAGCTTTTTACGCTTCCGATCCCGAGTTCAAAAGAGGCAGCAAAATTACCTCTAGCTTTTACGCTTCCGATCCAGAGTCCAAAAGAGGCAACAAAATGACGTCTCTAGCTTTTTACGCTTCCGATCCAGAGTCCAAAAGAGGCAACACAATGACGTCTCTAGCTTTTTACTCTTCCGATCCAGAGTCCAAAAGAGGCAACAAAATGACATCTCTGGCTTTTTACGCTTCCGATCCAGAGTCCAAAAGAGGCAACACAATGACGTCTCTAGCTTTTTACTCTTCCGATCCAGAGTCCAAAAGAGGCAACAAAATGACATCTCTAGCTTTTTACGCTTCCAATCCCGAGTCCAAAAGCACGACTCAAGCGACAAAGAGGTGCCCCTCGCCTGAAAAGGTCCCCTATGACATGACTCGGCCCCCGGCTAGGCGAAACCTGACCGCACCTCTGATTTTACAGACCGTCTCCCTGCGACCCGAGCCCTGTACCACCGTACTTCTCACTTTCCCCTTTTTCTTCCTATATTCTTCTTGTCCACGGCGACGGTGGAATAGATAAACCGAAGGGCGTTCCTAATGGAGGACTATCGGTCGAAGGTCATTGCTCATGTATGGGGTGTTCCGTGATTGTGCCGTATGATGCGAAGACAGCGATAGATTAACACGCGCGCGCTTGGTCGGTTAAATACCCTTCGCTCGGGTGCGGGATCAATCTGACCCTTTGAGATCTAAAAAACTGAGGGAGCAAGACACCAAATTCACACGGCGGGCTGGCCTACATGTGCAGTTACTTGTGTCGAAAGTTGAGGCCCATAACTCATGAACTTGTGGCCCAAGACGGTGTCCAAAATGCACCCAGACCTCCTCATGGAACCAACTTGAACCTAGATGTTCATTCTAAGCAAAAGTGCACTGGCACTACTTTGAGGTCAGTGACCTTGTTTGACTTTGAAGGTCATTGTGACCATAAACCTACGCGATTGTTATAATTTTACGTTTGAACAAACGTCAAGCATTACGTTAGGTGGCATGTTCCTGAAAGCAGAGCGTTGATCTGGGTCATTTCAGGTCAGTAGGCTACTTGACCTTAAAGATGTCCATGGAAGATGTCTGTTGCATTCCTCGTTATTGATAAGTTCGAAATGAGCACCAGAATCTGCCCCTTACAGACAGGTCTTGGGTAAAAACAAGTTGGTTTAGGAGATGGTTTGACCTTTTCACCTGACTCCAAGTCAATAAATTGTGTTGCAGTCCTAAATTAAAACGTGTGTGAAGTAAGCAACAGTTTGATATTCGCATTCGGCAGAAATCGACTACTCCCTTGGTTTTCACGAAACCTATACAAACCAAAGCACAA